CCCTGCAGAAAGCAAGCATCAGCCAGGAGGAATCTTGAAGATATTTTCACAGTATCTATCAGTGATGAAAATGGCCAGATCAGTAGGACTGGAGGGGCAAAGTCCTCTATCTTAAATTTACTCTCTCACCGCTATTATCTTTTCTGTAATCTTAAAACACAACTGCTAAGACCAAGTTAATTCAGATCTCGAAAGCCTTGCACTGGGACATCATAGAGGATGGCTGGGGGTAGTGATGAGAAACTCTGACTTCAGCCGTCCCTCCTCATTCCTTTCCCGTTGACTCCAGACAGCCTCCTAGAGCTGCGGCTTTCAGTTGCTGTTTACCTGGGACAGGTTATGTGAGAGGAAGACTCCACCTGTCCTGCCCAAGCCCGAGGTTTTGAATGAAACTGAGGAAACCAGTAAGATGCCACTAGTTTGAAATACTTTTTTTTTCTCTCTCCTCACAGCTGCAAAGACTGGAAAAGAGCAACATCTGAGGCAGTCGGAGGGGAAGAAGCCCACTCTAGAAGGTGGATTTAGTTGCCTTCACTCCAAAGTTCCTGAACCTCCCAAGTTCACCATGCCCAGGGTCTTCAGTCCTTTTCCAGAAGTCATGAATAAGCAGGTTTGGCAGGAGAAGCAATGTGACTGTGAGAGGTGGGAGGTTGTGCTCACACCAGACCCATCAGGCACAAGTCCTGCAGCCCATCTGCAGGCTGTGCTGCCCTCACTGCAGTACCATGCATGAAATATCTCTCTTGGGCTACAGGACTCGGGAAGTAACTGTTCCCCTGTACTCAGCACTGGTGAGGCCGCACCTTCAATGCTGTGTTCAGTTTGGGCCCCTTGCTACAAGACAGATGTTGAGGTGCTGGAGTGTGTCCAAAGAAGGGCAGCAAAGTTGGTGAAGGGTCTGGAGCACAAGGCTTATGAGGAGTGGCTGAGGGAACTGGGCTTGTTCAGCCTGGAGAAAAGGAGGCTGAGGGGAGACCTTATTGCTCTACAGCTACCTGAACAGAGGCTGTAGCAAGGTGGGGCTTGGTCTCTTCTCCCAAATAACAAGTGACAGGACAAGAGGAAGTGGCCTCAAGTTGTGCCATGGGAGGTTTAGATTGGAGATTAGGATTTTTTTTTCACTGAAAGGGTTGTCAAGCACTGGAACAGGCTGCCCAGGGAAGTGGTGAAGTCACCATCCCTGGAGATGTTTAAAAGATGTGTAGGTGTGGCACTTAGGGACATGGTTTAGTGGGGTTGGCCGCGCTAGGTTAATGGTTGGACTCAATGATCTTGAAGGTCTTTTCCAACCTAAGTGATTCTGTGATACAAAGCTTGCTCTGAGAATTTGCCCAGAAACAAAGACAAGATTTGCCAAATGGGATGTAGTTTTTATTTGCTTTGGGTAACTCCAACCCCACTTGCAGAGGAGTGGCAGAAAAATCCATTATAAGGCAGTCGCAGCTCCTCTACCTAAACCTCAGGAGCTTGTTGTGGTAAGAACAGCTGTAAGAAAAGGGGAAGAGCATAAGCTATTAAGTCAGATAATTTAATGGTAAAGAATCTGCCCTTGTGCTGGTGTCTGATGTGTACTTTTGTCACCCATAGGTGGACAGAGCTACAACTTCAAGCCCTGATCTAAACCACTGGCGGACTGGTCTAGCAATAGTGATCCAGAAAAGGTAGGAGAGGGTTGAATCATGTGGAGGATAAAGCAGATGAGATAAATAGAAAGGATCTGTGTTTCTTTCCTGGTGATGGGCAAGGAGAACACTGCTCAGGCTCTGTAATGCTCTTTTTCTGTTCATTTCAGCCACTAACACAAAGATTGCCATCCTGTGTTCAGTCTTTTAGGAATAATATTTTCCGCCTTTGAAAACTCCCCTTCCTTCCAAATTCTGCATAGGCTGAGAGAATAAAGCTGAACACTCGGTCAGTTCTTTAACTGAGTTTGTTGTTTTCCCACAGCAAGGCGAGTTTGCATCTTATAGTGCTCAACCCTGGAGGTTTCTCTCACTCCCTCCAGGTTTCTTTAACTCCCTCCTTCCATTGGAAAGCTGAGCAACACAAACTTCTCAGGAATGACAAAGTTATCTTCTGGTAGCTGTTCTTTCTCTGCATTGCATCTTCCCACACAAATAGTCCCCAAGGAGTCAATCAGCATTAGAGTGGTGCAGATCTGGCTTTTGGTGTAGGAATTTGAGGCTTTCTCTGGCATTTCTCAGTTGAGCAAACTTACTGCTCAGTTGTGTCTTGGGGAACAAGTCAAAGGGTGAAGTGCTCTGATTCTGCTCTAGAAGTTGTCACTTTTAGTAGTGCTGGATCAGCTTAGCATAAGGAACAGGAACTCCATCTCAGCCTCATGTACTTGTGTATGTGCTCATTAACATACAGTAATAAACCATGTACCGGAAATTTACTGTAACTGTTCATCTGCTGTAAGTCATTGTCCTAGGGATGTAAAAGTATATAGTGTAATCAGTGCAGGGTCAGGGTAACATGACTCATTTAAATATCAGTGATGCTGCAGAGACACTCTGACTCCTCTCCCACAGGCTCAGCTGCTGAACTGGAGCAGTGGCAGGGACGGATGCGGGAGGTTTAGTTACCTGTCACATTGCTAACGTCAAGTCCTCACTGGAAGTGTTTTCTTGGTTTTAGACCTGACAATGGTCCCACATCACCTCAAAATGCTGGCTCTACTGGCACTGAACCTGCAGCCTCTGTTTTTAACCCACCTGCATCATGCAGTTTTCAAGGTGATGCAGATTACACGGGTAGTGAGAAACCCAGCCACAGTTCCATGGCTGAGAAGGTGTAAAGGTCTCTTGTGGAAAAACCTATGCGAATAAACACTCTCTGCAGGTCCCTGGCTATAGGGACAGGCTATAGACTCTGCTATGGCTTAGCAGTGATTTCTACAAAAGCTTTGGTTAGCAGGACAGCTGTACTATACCAAGGATGGAGTGACATCTCTGAGCCTTGTTCACTACCGAACAGCAGACACCCAACTCGCTGGAAAGTGGGATCTCCATTAAATGAGAGCAGAATGCAGGTAGGGGTCCTGAACTTACCTCGCTTGCCTTCTAAGTGAAGCTGTTTCTCCTCTATTTCTCCCGTAATAGCCCAATTGTAAAACACATTAAGTATCTTAATTCTCTCTGCATTCTGCAGAAATTGGGTGCTTACGTATCCCTTAGATTCTGTGCTTTACTTGCTCCTGCCTAGCATGGATTTGAATCAACAACAAAGCAAAAAAGAGCTTTCCATCACATGGGTGGTTGTCCTTGCTTTGCTACTTGACCTTTTAGCAGATGACTCTGGCATCCTTGCTTTTAACAGTTCTTGTCAAAATATTAATACAGGACATGCGATGTGCAGAGTAGGACTGGGCATTTGGAAGACCCCAACAATTCACTTCCCTCGTAGCCAGAAGGGGAGTGGTAGATTCATGCAGAAGGGTGGGTCAAAAATTCAATGTTCTAGTCTGGGCAAGATTCTGTCTCCTGCCCTATAAAGGGTTTAATATGGCTTATGTTACCACCCTAAGGATCAATAAAAAATGGTTACCCAGTAGTGATGGATCTCGTGTTAGGAGTGTGGAAAATTGCATCTATTAATAGCTTGAGATTACCTCCTGAGGGAGACCTATTGTACAGATTTCATTGTATTTCTCTCTTAATTCATCAGCTGTTAGTAATTACATCCCGCATTTTTGCAATGGAAAAAATGAATCTAAACTGGCTATTGAAACTGTACTTAAATAAATCATAGGAGTGAGAGGAAATTACAATGCAAATAGTCTAAATCTTGTAAACAATTTTAATTCGCTACTTAGCTATTCATAAATTAAATAACATATTCAAAAAATGCACTCTGGAAAATATAGCAGCCACACTGAAAGCAGTGCCAGTCAGATCAGCTTAAAGTGACTCCTCTGGCATCTCAATAATATATAATTTTTAAAGGGTTCAGGTAGTAAGCAGTTTAGCTTGTCAACTGACAGTTGAGAGAAACACTGACTTCCCGTCAGCCCAGTTTGTGCTTTCAAGTAATCTCTTACAAGAGACTCTTCTTGTTCAGCTTCTCTTTTGAACCATTTTTGAAAAAAATTACAAGTGCCATTCCTCTTGCCTCCTTTTCCTCTTTGCACACTCCACAGTTCCCCTCTAGTGGTACTGAATCCTCCAGCAGATACTGAAGCTACAGTCTCAGGTTACTCGGTCAAAATCCTTGTCCATCATTCTTCTCAGGGTACAATTATAAGCAAGGTATTCTGTTCTCAGACACGGTAATCTGATTATCCAGCCCCAGTGAATTAAAAGGCACTGTTTACAATGGCAAGATAGGGCAGAAAAGTACTTTTTTCATCATCGTCGTCCTGCTTCCTGGTAAGTGGAGATGGTTTAAATGGAGAAAACTGGTCAGGTTGACGTGTGAGGCTTGCTGCCCTCTCCCGGTGTGATCAGGGGCCACACACGGCATCTCAGCTGCCTATCAGATGGAGTTTTTCTCCTTTTCAGACGATGAGTCCTGCAGTAGTGGAGGGAAAAAGCTGGTTTATAGATGGGATTGTTTATTTTAAACAGCAGTGTTTCGACTAGGATTAGCTGGATCAATTCACCCAGGCACAACTTTGGATTTGCCAGTTGCAAAGGCAACGGCGTTGACCAGGTTCTCTGAATCTGCCGATGGTCCCCTGTGGTTCTGTGATTGTGCCAAACAGATTGGAGCTCAACACTGCCGACTCTTCTGGGTACTCTTGCCCAATTTTCTGGGAGCATTAGCACTTCGTATGCTTTTTATTTATGGTCATGGGAAACGGTATCATAGCCCACCAGAGCATACCAGTTACAGATGAACATTTACAGCCACATTTGGGCGCACGTTGTGGGAGCGAACTTTAAGCACACCTCAGTCTCAGCATTTGATGAGAATCCATCTTCTTACCCTGCAGAGGGACTGACCAGGGAAGGTACTCACCTTGTAGAAATCATTTTACTCCTGAGAGCTACTGAAGCTCAGCTTGCTGGGTCATGTGCAGCAATCAAAGGCAGCAGCTCTCCACAGCGGGCATTCAGTTTTAGGGACGCAAAGTGATCTACTCTTGTAGGCCCAATATTTAGGATTGCAATTGGCAGCTTCTTCTCCCGAGCAGCGAGAGCAAACCTGTAACCAGAGTATACCTGCAGGAATACCAGAAGACAAAATTATTGGCAGCTTAGATTAAAAAAAGAGCTACAGAAAGGGGAAAGAAAAGTAAAATAGTTGCTGTTGACAGTGGGAAAAGGGGGCGAATGTACATGCTGTGTTAGGCAACTGCACTTAATTCAGGTAGGAAATGTCTTCATTTGGGAGTGCACAGAAAAGAAGAGCTTTTAACCTCTGTCAGTGAAGGATTTGCAGCTTCATAGAAACCGTAACTTCACAGTACATTGAAGGGAGATGCCCCTGTCTTTGAGTAAATCTCTGCAGCAGTTTTTATTAGTTATCATAGGTACTTAAATGCTTCTACTTTGATGGATCTCACATGGCCCAGCTTAGGTAGTACAAGAATGAACCTAAGGCATTTCAATCATTCCTGTACAAAGGATTATAAGCTTAAGAAGTGCAAGCTCAAGGAATTTGTCTCCAGTATCCTGAAGCCAAGAGAATCACAATCAGCCAGCCTTGGTTTTATCTCATTCTGGGAGGCATTAGAATTGGTTTTCTTAATGTAATAGAACTTGTTCCTGGAAAAATTGCTCTTATACAAACTCTATGCCATTGTTTAACTCTATGGGTTAAACAACAGTGGTTCTATACTACTTTACCTTGTAGATAAGAGGCTAATGGAGAAAACACATCATGATACAAAAGACAATCCTAAACAGCAAGCAGAGATATTTCTGTTCTCTTGTTGAGAATTTAATTAGGAATTAGAGGTCCTAAAATCTGGTGTTTCCCACAGTGTGCCATGAGGCCTAGAAAGCTGCCAAAGGATAAAAAAAATTTAAAAAAAGGTGGGGTGGTGATCTCTGCAGGACTGATTTGTATCAGGCGTCTTGGCTTTATGGGCAGTTGTGAACCTACAACATACAGATGGAGGAGGTGGCAGAGGCTGAATGGAGTCATTAATAGGAGCACGACGTAGACTGGCAGTAGAGTGACAGGGAAGCCCAACCAGGCCAACCGTGAAGCCAGACTTGCAACCACAGTAAAAACAAAATACAGAGAAGCGCTGGCAGGGCTGTTCTGATCCCCAAACAATAATTAGTCCTAAACTGTGAGGCTAAGGACTGTTAGTCTGTGCAGGCAGAGTAGCACAGAAATAGAAACGCAATATGGGAGGAAAGCCTACTTACCTGCATAGAAGATCCTGCCACCAGCATGGAGTCCGATTCCGCCAGGCGTTGGTGCACAAAATTCACTTTTTCGTGGCTCACCGTGTCTCCAAAGAACGTCACGTCGGGCTTCAGGACTCCATCACATTTATGGCAGGCTGGGACTTGGAAATTGTGCACCTGCTCGTCTGTCAGGAAGACATCCCCATCCGGAGCCACACCAAAGGCTTCAGCTTTCCAGGTAGGATTCAGAGCTTCAAAGTGCTCCTGAAGCTCAGAGCGTAAGATGTGGTCTCCACAGTCTAGGCAAAAAACCCTGAAATTCAGAGCAGAGTCTTAATGGAGAGTTTCATGTCGGCTGGAGAGCTGGAGTCTGTCACTTGTTCTTTAGGAGGCCTGGAAGGTCTGTTGTCATCACCCACACTTATTTACCAAATAGCACGGGTCAAGGAGCTTTCTACTTCTGATTGTTGGTTTGCAGGAATGGTCTAGAAGCAGCACTTTGAACCCTACTGTGCATCCTCTCTCCCAGTTCAGGCTGCACTTTTTCAGCTGTAAACTGGGTGATAACAGCCACACTGTGGTGGCCCCTCTCCAGTTCACTCATCTTCTGCGTTTCTGGCACTATCCACTCTGCTTCACCCTGGATAATCCTTGCATCCTCAGGATCCCCTTGTCCTCTTCACTAAAAGGACATTTGCTGTAGCAAGGAAAGGGGAAATTCTGACTGATGCAGACTCCAAGGGAAATGATCCAAATACTACTAAAAAAATTGAGTGGTGTTCATGTTTCTTAAATACCGTGCTGTGAACAGCACTGTTTTCTGATCTTTTTCTCCACCCCAGCCCAACAACAACTTTCAGCATGTCATCTCCAGGAACATAGGACCAACGTTTTGACTCCTTTCTCAGCAGCTAACATTACACCTGCTTGGCAGTCGCCCTGAACAAGAGACTGGAGGATTAACCATCCTCCCTCTGCCAACAGAGTACCTGTGTATGCACCCGTGCAGTTCTGTCAAGCGCTGGCTCCCGGCTTTGGTGTGGAGGGCATCCACGTTCTGGGTCACCAGCCAGTGCAGCTTTCCCAGCTTCTCCCAGTCTCTTAGTACCAGGTGTGCTGTGTTTGGCTGGTGGGAGGAGAACTGGGGCCACCCCACAAAGTTCCTTGCCCAGTACCGCTGCCGGGCACTGGCACTACGAACAAACTCAGCGTGCTGGATGGGCCGTCTGTCTGTCCTGGCGTAGAGCCCGACGCCTTCGGAGCGGTAATCTGGGATCCCCGATTCGGTCGAGATTCCAGCTCCAGTCATTACAAAGAGCCTCTTGGAGTTAGAAACAAAGCGCTGCAGCTCCTCTACTTCCACAGGACCTGGGGGAAGACAGGCTGGCACGAAAGCCAAGTTTGGAGAGGTCCCGGATACAGAATAGGATCTGAAATGATGGGATCTGATGGCTCTGCAAACTCCTGACAACTTCCTGGCAGAGAACATGTTTGGCTAAAAGTCAAGAACAGAACACATAACAGGTAAAAGAAAGCAAAGAGCATGTCCGTAATTCCAGTTTCTTAGGATTCTTTGGGAAATTCTGCTGCTAAGTATTTTTTTCTCTTTTTCTTTTTAGTAAAGAAACACAAATTATTTTGGAAATGTTGGACAGCATTTGTATGTCCCTTTCACAGACGGCAACACTGAGGGCTGCTTAAGCTGCAAGAACAAAGTTAGCACCCCTGACTCACAGGATTCCTGCTCTCTGATCCTGGTGTGAAGCATGGCTGCCTCAAGGGACTTCTGAAGAGCCCAGAAGGACCTGAGTGTGCAAAGTCTTTCCCAGGTATGTGCAACAGGGCAGAGAAAAAGTGGCAGGGTGGCCAAGCACCTCACCCCAGAGGCACAGTCCTGCTGGCGTGTCTGGTTCCTCCAGAAGAGACCCTTGCTCTCCTTTTGTTAACATTCTGCCTGCTCCAAGTCCTTTCCCCCTCCTTTGCATGTGTTGTGGGAAGGGAGAGAAAACAACCTTGAAACATTGCTTTTTCAGGACAAAGGCCTTGACTGAAGTTATTCCTGGGTTGGTTGGTTTGTTTGGTTTTGTTTTTTTCTTTTAATAAAGGCCTTGGGTGGAACAGGTCTTGAAACAGGACTAGAGATTATTAAGACACTACCTAAATGCCTCTGGCACCTCCTCCTTTGTGGGTGCCATCTCTCCAGAGTCGGTGGAGGGGTACTGCTTTATTTCACCAGCAGGAACAGAGGGCTTTGCTGAGGGAGAAGGAATCACGCAAATGTGTGGGGGCAGAAACAACTGCCTGGCAGGTAGGAACAGGAGGGTTACCCTGCTTTAAGGGAGGAACATGTCCTGCTGGGGACAGGCAGGAAGGCTTTGGTGACAAGTAGCCTGGAATGGCGTGCAGGACCTGTTGTGACAGCAGTGGCTGGGTCTGGACCGTGATTTTGTTTGGCCTTCCTAGCAGTCCATAGTTCTTCTTTCTCCATTTCACTATTTTAAAATTGTTTTTTTCTAGGCTGCTCTAGGGTTTTGCATACGAAGTACAAAATATTTTGAAAGAAACAGTACTGGGAATTGACTGTCTCGTATTTCTCCCTCCTACCACCTCCCTCAGCAAGGGGGCTTGTGTGAGATCTGGAAGATGTAGGAAGTGCTTTAATTACTGATAAAGAGGGATGACCTCTAAAGAATGGCTGCAGCAGGCCTCATAGCCAGGTGCTTAAAGCTTACTGGATATCGTGGGACACCTGGATGCAGATTCCTGCCCGCTCACCATCACAGATTACTGGGAGGACACCCAAGGGGCTGGGTGTCACTGGGAGCTGTCAGCTGGCTGGAGCAGATCCTGTTCAGGTGTTGGTGGGAGGGAGGGCTCTGCGCAGCTTGTTGCTGCCAAAGGGTTCAAGCATACAGGCAGTATCATAAATGTTTTCATTAAAGGTTCATAAACTTGCAATGCCTGTGAGATCTGTAGCAGCTCTGAGAAAGTCCGAGGTATTCGAGTGGTGGTTCCTTGTCTAAAAGGCTGGCATACAAGTACTTCTGATGATCTATGCATCAGTGCCTGGATGGTTTTTAGACTCCTGCTGCATCTAAATTGCTTCGCCTCAAGTCTCCAATCCCTCTCAAGTACCAGTTCTTACAGGAAATGGAGCAATATTTAAATACATTTAAAGTTTGGGTGTTCAGCTGTAAGTATCATGATACTAAATTGATGCTAGTGGCAAAGAGTACGTTTATCTCAGTTAATCTCCAGTTGTCAAGGCTTTGCTTCATCACCAGTTGAATTATAGGGAAGACTGGACTTCCTCCATGGTCCTGAATTACTTTTTAAATCTAAGCAATGTATTCTGTTCATGATTATTATTGCCTTGTTTTGTTTTTGT